TAAGACCTCAGATTATAAGTTTGAAGACTTTTAGGCGGTACTAAGGCATTCAGTTTATGAGTGGATTCCAACATCTTCGAAAAAAGTCGCTTACAATGGACAGTTCTACGTTCGTAAAGAGTCATCAAGTTAGCTTTAAGCAAACATTCAGCATAAATAGTTCCAGGGAAAATAATTTTTAATGCCCTTTTTTGTATTTTTTCAACTTGATCACTCAGGTAATGAGGAAGGCCATAATGCCACACCTGACAAGCATATTCGACAATTGGTCGAATATGTGTACAATAGGTTGAGATCAGAATATGAGAAGGTAAAGCATTTCTTTTAAGAAGGCGCAGACCGTACAAACGCTTCGCGGCTTTCTTGCAAATGTAGTCAATATGGCAGTTCCATTTGAGATCGTCCGAAAGGACAACGCCCAATAGTTTGGCCTCGGAAACGACGTCGACCTCTTGACCGCGAATGTTAATAGGGGCAAACGATGGAGTAAGCTTAGAAAGCAGACACGCAATTCTTTGGTCTTTGATACGTTTAACTTCATATTATTGTCTGATGACCATTCAGAGCAGCTGATGATGTTAGCGGGTAACTGGGAAGGGGAATTGTTTGATATTATTTCCCAAAGGCTAGTATCATCGACAAATTTAACAGTTTCATCCCCTACAGCCAAGTCATTTATCATGATCAAAAATAATAGCGGGCCAAGCTTCGTTCCTTGTGGGACGCCGGCGTTTAAAAACTTCCACTCAGAAAAGAACTGACCAACACGGGTTCTTTGTTGTCTGCCTGTTAGGAAGTTTGCGATCCAGTTGAGTAACGTAACACGGGATGAATTTCCATGTCTTTCAATTTTTCCAACAGAATGTTATGATCTAATCTATCAAACGCCTTGGCAAAATCAAGTAAACAAATCCGTATAGTGTTGCCTTGTTTGTCAGCTGCTTCAAACCATTTATGTAGCATGTAGATTAATGCCATACTAGTGCTTGAACCCTTCAGTGAACCAAATTGCAAGGAATCAATTTTTTTTGAGACGGAGTCAAGTAGCCATTTGTAGGGAAAGGATTCAAGAATCTTGCTGATAATTGGTGTGAGGGAGATTGGTCTGAAGTCAGGTCTGAATTATTTAACTGCATGATCTATTTAGTCCACCAAATACATATTCTTACAATTTCTGCTAATCTCATTAATGTATGATTGGATCTTCGATCGCAGCAATGTGGTTATAAGCACCTGACTTACATTTTGAATTAAAGCAATGAACAAGCTTTGAATTAAAGCAATGAACAAGCTATTTTTTGAGAGTAATGTCACATAATTCGAGAAAGTTCCACCAATCATCTGATTGAAATAAAATAAGTGTGGTTAAAAAACAAATGTTGTGCAAAACGTATTAATGAACACATTTAGCTACATTAAAATTTAAAAAGTAATAATAACAATAACAATTAAAAATAAATAAAATGTGCCTTGATGGACTTGTAAGATTCTTGCTTTGTGGGGAAGCTGCTGGTTGTCTTGGCCCCATCCAGATTTCCTGTATATTGCAGGCTTTTCCTGGCCTCCCAGACTATCCAGCTATAGTATACGTATGAGTGATGGTAATGCTCAAATATATGTCTTACTATTATCTGGCAGCAGCTGTATTCTATACAAATACAGCTGGGGTGGGAGTTTGTCTATGGGGAATACACATGCCGTGTATTTGTGGGGTTGAAGTGTTCCCAATGGTCAACTTCAGGCCCATAGACTTAGGTTATTTATGTAAATTTAAAATACTCAATAATTCATAAACCTTGTGACAAAACATGTGAGCCATAATATGTCACGTGGAGTGACTTTATATCTGATAAAACACATGCATGCATGTGGCATTATATAACTGTTCATCCTAATTAGTATTTATTTGTAGTCGTATTTTAAGTCCTATTTAAAGCACTTGTAGTCGTGTTTTATCACATATAAAACACGACGAGTAGCGCTAGCGGAGTGTTTTATATGTGATAAAACACGACTACAAGTGCTTTAAATAGCTTCAAAAACGACTCATCTTATACGAGTTCATTGGCGAAGTAATTTTTCAAATAAACTTTGTCTAAACCGAGAAAATCAAAGCTAAAGTTTATGTAAATTAACGTGATTTTTTATCACATATAAAACCACGACACGCTTATAATTTTTCTTTGTGTTTTGCTCCTGAATTATTAATGAATAAAGACCGGGTACCAGGTTATTACTTTTTCGTAATAACCTGGTACCCGGTTATTACGAAAAGTAATAACCGGTTAGCCGGTTTTACATTTTTAATTCAAGACCTGGCATGAGTCTTGAATTCGGGACTTGAATTTGCAGGAAAACTCAAGACCCACCTCTCCTTTTCGACTATAAAACGCTGCACGTCTCTAAGTCGAGAAAGATACAAAAAGCCGTGTACCTCAGAGCCCGTCAAAACTCTACCATTAGGTTAGAGTATTTATATTAAAAACCCCACATAGTGTATATCACTACGGGGAATCAAAATTATTTTACATGACACAATTCACATGCATGCATTAGATTACGTTAAAATATTTACATTAGGTCACACAAACATAGACTTTTAGATCAAAGTTCGTATTATACCGTTTACAACACATGCTAAAACATTGTTTATACACCATTTTGACTCAACGTTTTCCGTGTCCATGATACACTGTTCTGTTTCCAATCGATTTCGCGCGCAATTCCTAAAATACACAAGACTGATAATTTTCTCATCCTTCCTGAACTGATGTGATACTCGTTCTTTCCAAGCGGAAAATTAAGTAACACAGAAGGTCTCTTGTTCTTGTTCGCGGGAAACAACCCAACAACATATTCCGTTCTGAAAGACCAAGAACCGATGCATCAATTCGATTGCACAATTTCAAAATAAACATCCATATCTCCTTTACCATTGGACAATGAATCAACGTGTGTTCTAATGTTTCCACTCTTTCACCACGCCGTGCACATGCTGAGAATATTCGTGAATACCATTTATGCATTCTGAAATTGACAGGTAGAACCCGATGTACCGTGCGCCAATCAAAATCACGTAACACTGGATCATTGAAACTTCGAGCGACATCCTTCCAAATCTCTTTCCAGATTAAACCAGGACCAAATCTTTGATTCCAAGCCAATTCGCTTCTTGCTTGTACCGGGGTAACACAATCTTCAATACGTTTTCGTGCAAGGTTGTCCCAAATCAACAGCAAATTCTCTCAGAACACGAAGAAAATGACTATAAAACGGAGTTGGAATGTCACTATTTGGTCTCGAGTTATCGTTTATGCCTAAAGCCCGTCCGATGTAATAACGCATGAAATGTTTCCAAGGTGCCTCACTCTCTTCAAAAAATCGGAAGACACGACCAATCAACAATTAGCCCGCGTGCAGGCCCAAGGGAAGAATAGTGGGCCTGCAAGCAAGGCCCGGTATTTTGTACTTTCTGCGTTCGCCCATGCACGAACGCGGCATTCTGATTGGCTGTTTGCTGTTGAATTCTATAATTAGATCAGTGATACATCAGAAAGGCTCTCGATAAGCGATTATCTTTCGGTTGATGTTGATTCTGTTTTTGCACTGAAGAAGACAGCGTTTCTCGCGGTGAAGATTTAGAGGCAGTTACATGTAAGCCTAATCGAAACACCTTGCGATTTGCAAGGCTTCGCTGAGGCAGCGAAATAGAAGACGGTAATTGCCGTTTGAAACGAAACGATCTGGACTCTGAACGCTCTCTTCTTTTGTAGAGTCCTTTACCAAATGAAATAACTGATGTAAATTTCGTACTTTCCGCTGCCAACAAGAATTGCACACACGATCTGATAAATGAGACAATTTATTTATAACAACGCATGGCGACAGCGAAGCACACATTAATGCTAATGTGGTCGCACGACTTCCCTCACGATTTCAAGTTTGAGACTGGTTTTCTGTAGAAATTCGTCCTAATTTGCCTGTTCCGATTTCAGTTGAAAATGAGCACTTGCAAATTTGACAATTACTGACTGCGTTTCTTGCTTTTTTGGAGTTAAAATACAGCCATTTACACATTGTTTCTATTTTGAATAAAGCAGAGAAAACCCCGCAACATTTTAATGCGAGTTTGTTTGTTACTATTTGGGTTGCTGTCATTGGTTCTTTTTTGACAATTGAAGCGCGAAAGGGGCGTGTTATGAAAAGGGGCGTTTTACAAAATACCGGGCCTTGCTTGCAGGCCCACTATTCTTCCCTTGGGCCTGCACGCGGGCTAATCAACAATGCTTTGCTTTTGATGTCAAGATTAATAATTCGCAGACCCCAATTCAATTGACACCCCAGACCCGACATACACGTTTCCCGACGCACCCACTCCGATTTCTTTGACCAAACGAATTTCCAAATTTCCGATTGTAGAGAGTCAATACATTCACGCTTTAGCGGGTATATCTTTACCGCATGCCAAAGCGTCGAAGCCACCAAACTCCCGATCACCGTCATTTTCCCTCGTAACGTCAGATACCGTGGTTCTCATTTCTTCAATATTCCCTTGAATTTGGCCGTAGCCTCTTCCCATGATTGGATCTTTGCATTTTCGGAACCAAAGTAAATACCAACAATTTTTAAGCTCGTGTTAACCCACGTTAGACCACAGGGTGAATCAGTACGAGGACGCCACCTACCGAGCCAAAGACCCTTTGATTTCGTTGTATTAAGCCTCTCTCCGGATGCTCGACCATATTCATTAAAGACATCAATGACTTTGACAAGACCATATGAATTGGTAACAATACAGGTGTTGTCATCAGCATATTGTGATATTTTCACTTCCTTCCCTCCAGGCACACGCAATCCCTGTATTTCTGGGCACTTTCGAATCGCTTGTCCAAACAACAATGGAGATAGCGGGCACCCTTGTCGTACCTCGTTGCACGTGAAAAAAAACTCTGAAACATAACCATTGATCAATCGATATAAAGACACAGGCCATTGTTTCATTAACTTCCATTATCTTCATTCGAACGTCCAGGGACAGAACAGCATTGATCCGGGTGAATTATCATAGGCATAACAGGTTTAACACGATTTACAAGAACTTTTGTAATAATCTTGCAATCTGTATTGAGGAGCGAAATTGGGCGCCAATTTTTCAACAATTCAGGATCTTCTTTCTTAAACAACAGTGATATTAATGCCTGGCGCATAGACTCGGGCATCAGTTCAACTGAAAAACAATAATTTGCCATTTCAACAAAGTCTTCTTTAAGCAGTTCCCAAAAGGACAAATAAAATTCTTTCGGTGGACCGTCTGAACCCGGTATTTTGCCATTTGCCATAGACTTTACTGCTACCAAACATTCACCCACCGTTAACTGTCCCTCGCTTGAATCGCGTTGCTCATTTGTTAGTTTCCTGTCAAATAAATTGAGTAACCGACCTACGGCAACTTTGTCTGTCGGCACATTTGAATAAAGTTCTTTATAATATCTAACTTGTTCCTTTGAGATATCATCTTGCTCAGTCACTCTCCGCCCATCACTTGTGCGTAGAGCATGACACGTTTTCTTAACCGCTCTTCTTTTCTCCTTTTGGAAGAAAAAGCGCGATGGCTGTTCGTTTGATTCGAGCCATTTTGCTCTACTTCGGATCTTGTTTCCTTGGATACGTTTTAAATCCATAGTTTCCAATTGGGACTTAACTAAGTCTAGTTCTTTAACTTCATCCTCCGATAAATTTGTTTTACACACAATACGACGATAGCGATTAAGTACGGTCGCTCGTTCTTGCTTGCGCTTTCGAGATTCTTTGCGACTATATTTGAGAAAAAGAAATTTAACTCTTAACTTGCCATAATCCCACCATTCTGCTACATTACCAAAATCACTTTTCCGATCTTTCCAATGTTCCCAAAATGAAGCAATTTGCTCGCGAACTTCTTGCACTTGTAATAATGAGACATATAACTTCCACACACCGGGGCCAATATTACTACTAGCTTTGTCAACCGTTAACAATATCCGAACAAGATCATGATCCGAATATGGATATATCATTATGTCTGTTTTGATGTCATAATCCCTTACAAGCAATGAAGAAAAATACAAACGACATTTAATACTACCACGTTTAGTTTGCCACGTAAATTGGCGATCAGTTGGGTGCTGTTTACGCCAAATGTCAACTAAATCAAATCGCTGTATTAGTTTATTCAGATGTAAAGCACCAGTATCTCCTGAGGCTGGATTTCCGCCATATTTATCCTTACGAGAGACAAAATGTGTATCAAGACTTTGAAAAAATTCTATGCGCTTAGTCTCGTCAGTAGGGGCATATATAATAATAAACCGCAAGTCCTGACTATTGAATGTACAGTCCAAAGAAATGATACGTCCAGCAGCATCACAACGAAAAGTACAGTGTTTGAATCTGTCGGGATCACGGAGTAATATACCAACACCACAACTATTTGACAAGCCAAGACTCCAATACCTTTTCAGTCCCGACTCTTTGTTCCATTTTACACAATCTTCAACAGTTGCAATATGCGTTTCTTGAAGAAATATAACATCAAATTTTTCACACTTTAAAAAGTCAAACAGCAGACGACGCTTCTGATGATCTCTAAGTCCATTAACATTTAAAGATACCACACTCATTTCCGCCATTGTTCCTTAAAGTTTATTATGTTTTTTTCTCTTCTTCTTTTCCCCCTTAATTATCGGTCTTTTTTTCTGTTCTTCAGGTGAGCCTCCCATATCACTAATACGTTGATCAGTAGCCTGCGAACAGGCTCTCAAGCTGAATTGAGAGCCTGCATCGATGACTAATGAATTTGAATATCTGCCCCGTAACGTTCTTTTTCCAAATATGGAATGTCTATCCTTATATGGTGTTGTTTACAACTTTCGTGCAAACTAAATTTAGACCATGCAAACTAAATTTAGACCGTACAGTTTATACTGGTTTTCGAAATATAAGATATTCAAGCAAAAGTTCAAATGTTTTAAATACTGTTTTCTCAAAACAGAACATTTCGTGCTTTGAGATAAGATGACCAAGACCAATTTGATCAGTTAATGTGTTTTTTATGCATAGTGCTTCAGCAGTTGACATATATAGAGCTCAGCGGAAACATATAAATTATAGCATCTGACCAATGAGAATTTCGCGTCACGATTTGAGACGCAGATATTTGAATTCATTAGTCATCGATGCAGGCTCTCAATTCAGCTTGAGAGCCTGTTCGCAGGCTAGTTGATCAGTGGAGTCTTCAGGAACCTTAACACCTTCGTCAGGTATGGAAACGTCCTCTTCTGCTTTTCTCTTGTTGTTCTCGACTGTTTGGACAGATCCTTGTTCTGTTGGGTGATGTTGGCTGGCATCATTGGATATCGCGTTCATAACTTCATCTCTGATGCCACCTGGATCCTTACCACTTGTCGATTCCACAGGGTCCATATCTTCATCACTCGACCGAGACACGTCGCTACTGTCTTCATCACGACCGATATCGTTACTGAAATTACTTTCCGACGTTTCATCATCTCTGTCATTGGACACGTCACGTCGATTCTCTAGACAATTTGCCCTGACATGCCCAAACTGGCCACATAGAAAACACTTGAAACATTGACGTTGTATGTGACCATTTTGACCACACTTGAAACACTTTACATCATTCGAGCACTTGGAAACACGATGTCCATATTCGCCACATCTGCCACATAAAGGCATTTGCCCACGATATCTAGTTTCTATCGGATAAGGGCCAATAAAGAGACGACGGGGAATCCCTTCAGTTAATTCACTCATTGTTGCCAGTCGAACTCCAGTTTCGACATTAGGTCAATCACGATACATTTCCCGATCCGCCTTCACTATTTTGCCATACTTCGCCAACGTTGCAGCTATCGTTTGATTAGAAATTTCACTAGGGGCATACAAAACTTTAACCAGTAACGTGGGGATATCAAGCTCTCGAGCAATAACTCGTTCACCCCGTAAATGAAACGGCTGATCTAAAAATAATTGTTCATATTCAAACGAGGGAAAAGTCAAACGATACCGAGGTCCAGGAACTTGTTGCACACACTTAATTGTATCTTGTTTCACACATTTTAAAACGGCATCCATGACCTCACGCACTGTAATATCCTTAAACGCTTGGGTATGCAACACAACAGAGTTGGGTCTAGCAACCCCAGCTCCAAACCGAGTATGTGGTAACGGTACAGCTCCTTGACTTAAATTCGGCAAACCAACAATATCTGCCCATGATCTTCCAGCCGTTTGCATTTCTTCTCCCGCTCTTTCAATCACAATTTCCTGGCTCCATTTGCCACCCTCAGCTGCGCTTTCGTCGCTGCCACCCTCAGCGGCCCTTCACCGCTAGGGTCGCTCTTCGCCGCCAGGTCCTCCCTCTTCGTCTCCAACCTTCCTTATTTCGTCACCAACTCTTCCTTGTTCCTCACCAACTTCTATATCCATTCCTCGTTCTTCTGCACCAATTCTTCGTTCATCCATTATTCAAATGTAGAATATTGATCATTCGGCGCACGAGGACTAGCTGGATCAAACTTGCTTGTGCAGGGGCTTTATACAGTAATATCTGCTCTTTCGCTTGTGGGACGTGAAATGATATACTGCGCATGCTTAACCATCGTCTCACAACTGCAATATAACTTGAATATATTTAATCATAGTTAATAGAGGAGATGGTTTGGAAACTCATCAGCATTACAATAAACCTCACTATCTATGTTTTTGTTCAGGTTTATGCAAAAATGTGGTCTTTCATCGTCACGTGCGTATTGTATTTTTGTTCAACCAGCCAATAGCAGCGGTTTTGTCCAATTGCCCATCCATGACTTTAACAATAGGACATTTTGAACATTCCTATTGGTTGACTTGAGAAAAATACAATACGCACGTGATGATGAAGACCACATTATTGCATAAACCTGAACAACATAGATAATGAGGTTTATTGTGATTTTATTGTAATGCTAACGAGTTTCCAAACCATCTCCTCTATTAACTATGATTTAATGAAGAAAACCTCCGAAATACTAAAAAATATGATCCGATGAGTATATAAACAAGTTAAAAGCCGCGGGTATCGATTTTTATTAAACTGTCTGATAAAATATGTCTGATAAAATACTCCTGAACCTGAACCTTGGGGTGCCGATAATCCCCTTGGGGTGCTGATAATACTCCTTAAAATGTCTGATAAAGTGCTCCTGAACCTGAACCTTGGGGTGCCGATAATCCCCTTGGACGGTACCTACGATTCGACTGATTATATAAAGGTTAAAAGCCAAGGGAGAAGTTTTTATTAAACTGTAAAGACCTCGGGCCGAAGGCCCGATAAAAACTTCTCCCTTGGCTTTTAACCTTTATATAATCAGTTTGACATCAGGGCCTGATGACATATCATACTGGTTTTGGAAGACATACGCAATGATATTGACTCCTGCTATAACGAGAATATTTAATACTTCTCTGAAGAGTGGGAAGATTCCGAACGTTTGGAAAAGAGCTGATGTGATACCCAGTCCAAAAGAAAACTCAATTAATTCATGCTCCCAACTAAGACCGATCTCATTAACAGATATCATTATGCGCCTATTTGAGAAATGTGTGTATCGAAGTGAAGTCGTTGATACAGTGTATAATTATATTGGGAATGATCAATTTGCATATAAAAAAGGGGCATAATTCAACCATGGCCCTAATAAAATATCAACATATGTGGTTAAAAATCCTTGATGAAGGTGCTAAATCAGTTAGAGTAATCTCATTTGACTTTAGTAAAGCATTTGATAGTGTCCCACACGATATATTATTTAATAAAATCAAGAAAATACCCATTAATCCATATGTTATAAACTGGATGATTGACTTTTTGAACAACCGCAGACAGAGAGTGAAAGTTGATGGTGTTACAACTAAATTTCTACCCCAGGGTACTGTACTGGGCCTATAATGTTTACTATAATTGTCAATGATATCAAGGCGGCGAATCTCTCCAATGATTTATACAAATTCGCTGATGATATTGCAATAATAGCACCAGTTTATGATTACGAAGATTCAGTTGGGGATGAAGTAGAAAACATGAAACTATGGTCAAACGAGAATGTCTTTAAACATGGAGAAAACCTATGAAATGATAGTTCGCGGAAAAGTGTCTACTCCCCTTCCTGATCACATCACATCCCATCCATAAAATGGAAAGAAAGGCTCAAATTATTGGGTGTCACGATGGAAGACATACCTGGAAAACGGGATAAACATTTTGAAGAGATAATGAAAAAAGCTAGTAGAAGAATGTATATTCTAAGGATTTTGCAAACACTACGGTCTCTCTACACATCAATTGGATCTTCTCTTCAATAGTCTTATAGTCTCTATTTTCACCTTTGCAGCCGAAGTTTGGGGTGGAGCATCATATAACAAATACGTAAGTCAGATTGATAAGTTTGTCAATCGTGCCTAAAGAAATGGTTATACAATCAACAGATCAGATTTTAAAGCAACAATATCGAACGGAGACAAGAAATTATGGTCAAGAATTATAAATGATGATAAGAATGCTCTACACCATCTTTTACCTAGTAAGTTAAATCGACCTTTAAGACGGAGTATAATTACGGGAACAACTCAGTATTTTTATAAAATACAAAAGAACAGTAACTCCGAATAACATTTTGTTTTGATTTATTGAATCTACGTTTCGACTAGATTGTAGTCATCTTCAGGGTTGACGATGACTACTGAAGATGACTACAATCTAGTCGAAACGTAGATTCAATAAATCAAAACAAGATGTTATTCGGAGTTACTGTTCTTTTGTATTTTTAAGACGGAGAGGTCATGACTTTGAACTACCAATTGTTAAAACTGAGAGGTTCAAAAACGCATTTATATATAGATGTCTTTTTCAATTTTATATAAACTATATATCTATATTCTTATACCTTAGAATTTTAAAGTACTAAAAATTGATGTAAATAACAATAACAATTTAATTGTAGTATTCTTAATATGTAAACTCAGACGTTTGCTTTGAGTATTGAAATAAAGACTTATTATTGTTATTATTATTATTATTATTATTATTATTATTATTATTATTATTATTATTATTATTATTATTATTATTATTATTACTATTATTATTATTATTATTATTATTATTGTTCTTGTTCTTGTTCTTGTTCTAGTTCTAGTTCTAGTTCTAGTTCTAGTTCTAGTTCTAGTTCTAGTTCTAGTTCTAGTTCTAGTTCTAGTTCTAGTTCTTGTCGTTGTCGTTGTCGTTGTCGTTGTCGTTGTCGTTGTCGTTGTCGTTGTCGTTGTCGTTGTCGTTGTCGTTGTCGTTGTCGTCGTTGTCGTCGTCGTCGTCGTCGTCGTCGTCGTTGTCGTTGTCGTTGTCATTATCATTATCATTATCATTATTATTATTCTTGTTCTTGTTCTTGTTCTAGTTCTTGTCCTTGTCCTTGTCCTTGTCCTTGTCCTTGTCCTTGTTATTGTTATTGTTATTGTTATTGTTATTGTTATTGTTATTGTTATTGTTATTGTTATTGTTATTGTTATTGTTATTGTTATTGTTATTGTTATTGTTATTGTTATTGTTATTGTTATTATTATTATTATTATTATTAAGTCTTTAGGTTGACCAGAGTTCAAGAGTATAATGTGTATAATTGGTTCACTTCACCCTGAACCCATTGGTGTTACTGTTGACGAAAATCTAGGTGTTACTGTTGACGAAAATCTTAGCTGGCATGAGCACATAAGTAATACTGTAAAGAAGGTAAAGAGTGGCCTTAGTGTCTTGAGACAAATTCGTGATTTTGTTCCAGTAGACGCATTAAAGAAAATATATTATGCAATTATACAACCGCATTTCGACTATTGTTCATCGGTATGGGATAACTGCAATAAAGGTTTTAAAGAGAAACTTCAGAAATTACAAAATCGTGCTGGGCGGGTTATCACACGTTCTGGATATGATATTAGATCTGCGGAAATTTTAGAAAAATTAGGCTGGCTTACGTTGGAACATAGGTGGCACTTGAATAAGGCATTATTAATGCATAAAATAGCAAATAATGATGCACCTATGTATCTAACATCACAATTTTCCAGAAGGAATCAAATGCATGACTACAATGTAAGGGGTAGCCAGGTGAATTTTTCTCTTCCAAAACCTAGCACAAACTTCATGAAAAATAGTTTAACATACAGTGGAGCGGTCACCTGGAACTCTCTAAGTGATGACATCAAATCAACCGAGGATGTCATTGCTTTCAAAACGAAGGTTTCTAATAGTATACGAGATTCTCTTAGTCTCTAATGCTTTTATTGTATATATGTAATATAATCATTCAAATTATCGTAAAATCTAGTTTACCCTTTGTTTCCCTTTCTCTCCTTTCTTCCTATATTTATACGTAGATTTATAATTTTACATAATTGTATATATGCACGGCTCTCAGGAAGAGCATTGTTTGTAATGATGAGATTTCCGTGTTGAAATAAAGTTTATACATACATATACATACATACAATGATTTGGTGTGTGTTTTACTTATTTTCGAGCTGTTCTTTAACCCAGTTTGTCTAGTATGCGAGTTGCGAGTCTGCGAGTTGCGAGTTTGCGAGTCTGCGAGTTGCGAGTTTGTGAGTTGCGAGTCTGCGAGTTATGGCACAGAACCCCAGGTTATAGTTGTTTATATTTTTAACCCACATAGCACCGCATGGGCCGTGTCGCCGCGCCTGCTCGTGGGATTACTATTAAAAATAGAAGGAACTAGGAAGGAAACATATCGCCCAAAATAGGTCAGACTTGTATACGGCGCCTAAAACGTTCTTCGATTTTTCGACTTTAATTGAGTGCATTTCTTTCGAATTTAATCGATATTCCCGGCAAGAATGATAACATACAACTCTCAAACCAACGATGCTTTAATCAAAGAGCTTAACTTCGCTTCAAAATACTCGAAAGAACGACAAAATTCGGCCAAAATACATCCGAGGCCTAGCATGTAGGAGAAAACATTTGAATACAGTGGAGAGAGCATTTGAATATATTGGTCAATTAGTGGCTTAACGACTTCCTGTTTACTACACAGCACCTACATACATGCCTGGGATATATTTTAGCCGAATTTTGTCGTTCCTTCGAGTATTTTGAAGCGAATTTACGGTCTTTGATTAAAGCATCGTTGTTTTGAGAGTTGTATGTTATCATTCTTGCCGGAGATATCGATTAAATTCGAAAGAAATGCATTTAAAGTCGAAAAATCGAAGAAAGTTTTAGGAGCCGTATGCAAGTCTTTTGGGCGCTATGTCCCTTCGTTCTATTTTTAATAGTAACCCCAAGCAGTGGCGGAAATTCACTTTTTTTTTGGGGGGGGGAGGGGGCAAAGCCTCCCAAATTTCCGACAAAAGTTTCACTGATTTCCGACCCCCCCATTTACACTCGAAAAGGCTGTTTTTAGCCCTCTTTTAGGGGGCGCGAAGGAGGCGCCCTCCCCCCGTCCCACCGAGATTTCCGCCGCTGACCCCAAGAGCATGGCCCAATGCTATGCGGGCTAAAAGTATATAAACAACTATATAACCTGGGGTTTCTGTGCTGTGAATCGCAGACTCGCAATATAGCCGACCTATCTTTCACCTATAACGTACAGTGTTTAGGGTTAGGGTTAAAATTGATACACATTGCTTTACAAGGATGCAAACATTAGTGGGTAAATATTCATCGATCATCAAAAGATCGAAGTGCGTCGATTTATCACGCACGAGAGGTACAGAAATATGTAAAGACAAGCGTTTTTAGCTTTTAATATATTTTGTCCCCAGCCGTGCGAGGGTACTAATTCCCCCCGGCTATTTACACCCGGGGAAACGAAAGCATTAGCGAAGTCTAAAGTTCATCAATCATCGTGGGCGTGGGTCACCAACGGTGTTCGAGTGTTGGGTGTGTGGTCATCCTCACTGATCTCAAAAATATGGCGGACTGTCATGAATAGCGGACGCTGATTGGTCCAATTTAAAGTTTGCATTATAACGACTGCATGACGACAGCGAAATAGCAAACATTTCTTGATTTGATGATTGATAAATTTCTTGCAAATATATTTCATTTTTACTCGCATTTTTGCAAGATTTTGTAAATTTCAAAAGCTCTCTCAGAAAGAAACTGCGAAAGAATCTGCTAAAAGAAGGGAGCCGACGTTAACGGAAGTAAGTTTGTTTTAAATATTGATTTTATAATGCCTTTAAAACCCGACGGCCTTTGCGTATATGAAACAACTAAACAAGACAGCATATAATTTCAGTGTATCTTTAATATTGATTCCCTTTATTATTATAGTGAATTTTTTAAATAAAAAAAGAAAGCAAAGTTATTTGCATGCGAGAATTTGAAATCATTTTATCGCAAGCTCAAAGTTTATCGATAAAGAAATTTAATTAAAGGCAGTTTAGTTTTATTAAAAACACTTTAAAAACGTTTTGCGAAGCGTTTGTGGTTGAATTTTACCTTAAATTGAAGCTTATATTACGTATGATAACATATGTAACATATATATGTTGGGAAATTGATAATTTTGTAATTAAAAGTGATATTTCTAGGCGATTTTTCATTTGTAAGAATATTCTTATAAAATTATCGTGTTATCATGACAACTACTTTACATACTTCATGTTCGGAAAATACAATGGTTTTGTCAGCAAGGCGAAGGTTTCTGCATGCATGTATTTTCTAGTAAAGGAATATCTTACCAGTTCTGTTAAGGAGATGAATAAAAACATCGCGGCTGATATTGCGAAGATTACCCTTGTTAGATCCATCAGTTGACTTAATGTTGCCCCGAGAATCATTCCCAAGTACATTGGAAGCATGACAACTGTAAGTAGGAAAAGTGATTTTTTATATGTTAATCCCGTTGTAACCATGACAGCAAAATCTCCTAAAAAAAATTTAGCCAACTCAGAATTATTATATAAGTAATGGATAAAAACCAAAATTCAATTATGTTATTTGGTTTCTGTAGGCTTGGGGCGTCGGTGGCGTAGTCGTGACAAGTCCTCAAAGCAAGCGCCTTTCCGACCTCTCATCGCTACGGAGTCATAACACTCATGCATGTGAAAGAGCTAGTCAACGCTCTACGGAAACTTGTGTGTTTTTTATGGCTACTCCTGTTTCTTCCCACTGGGAATTTTGACAGGATTGGTTGAAAATATCCCAAACTAACCCTTCCATTGTAGTTGTGTTTCGTAATCAAACATGAGCATACTACTATGGTAGTCAGATATGGGCTTTTACCTGCAAGTAAGGCCAGATGAGCATTTTCCGCACTTTCATAAACAATAACATATATTGATATCTTACCAACGCAATGTGGCACTTCGTGACATACGATGGCTACTGTCGTACCCAGACCTCCATAAAATGATTTGGCATATGCACCGCCAATGGCTATACCGTCTGTAAAGGAGTGAACGGCGTCACCTATGTGTGTTAATAAGGACCATATGAAATCTGTACGAAGCATTGTAATTTTTAAGAAATGCTGAACGAATTCAACTATCGGGTATACGGTATTCTGCGTATGCATGACGTATTTGACATGCAGTATAATTGAGATATATAAAAGTGCAGACATAATCTTGTGGCGAACATTAACATAATTATAAACCGACCAATTAAAACGCTCTCTCACCTATGACAATCATCCATATTATTAGAGGATAATGATTAAGATCCTTTTCATTTCTCTCGGGAACATGTTCTTTGTAATCTTCGTCAATACTTTCACTGTCGTGACAGTCGTCACTGTTAACTTCTGTGCCTTTCATGATCTCCGGAAAGTGAGAATGGGAATGGGAATGGGAATGAGAATTTTCTGTTTGTACCTACAAACGAAAGAAATGATGTCACTAAATCTGCTTCATGTATTATATGCACTGATGAAAGTGACATATCACGAACTACGCTCATTGAGACAATATGGATGAGTACGAAGTAACTATGAAGATCAGACTTTTGCAGGTATCATTTTCACGGGTGCTGGGATGAGTAAAAGCGACTTTTATATCAGAAAAAGAGTGGTTGGCATTATCAAAGTGTGAGGCAACTGGTCTAATGTGCACCTTGTTCTTGACATCATGAATGCAGATACTCAGAAACTCTGCCGCCTACAATAAACGTCTTCCAGTTTATCTGATGTAAAGCTGCTACATTTACAGCACGAAAACCAGTAAATGACATAGGAGGACCTATACGTGAAGCTGCGCTTGGTAATGAAATTAAAGAATATACGTTAAATTTTATATCTCGGCTGTCAGTGACTACATTATTTCTCATTATTAATTCACAATAATAACCAACATTAATGATTAAGGCTTCGAAAGATAATTACATATTAATTTGAAAACATTATTTACCAGACAATTTTCACTGAGCAAATGCATAAGGTAGAAAACATAGATGGTACAAGCAATAGGCAATGTGTTCCATATGACATCCTGGTGATGAACATTTGGACCGTCTATGGTGCTTTTTCCAATTTTTGTGCCGTAGGACTCACGAAGGAACACCTAAAGAATTATTTAGTGTACTTAAGTACAGAAGGCACACACCCATTGGCAACACTTTTGTGCTGTGCAAGTAGTAATGTATAGTATAGCCAGTGGTTAACACTCACGGGGCAAAGAATTATTTTATTTATGCAACAGGTTGTATTGTTTATTGCAGTATTGCATGCCCCAATGCTTTGTTTTCATGTGCATGGCTAATTCCTAGAGTTAAGGATATTTTTTTGACTGGGATCAAGATCAAAGAGAAATATATTTATTCATTCACAAAACATGGGGGATATAACCTTCATGTGCGCCTGCCGTGCTAAAACAGGCAAATATTGGCCACTGGGGAGTGCAATTAATAGATTAAAGTCTGCTCGTGGCTTCTAGACATAGTTAGACTTATAATTATTTACTTACGTGTGGTAGGAGATGAAAAATGGCGTCTCCAATCAAACATCCAACAGACAAGGCAACCAAAAACGGTAGAATGATTTGTCCTTCGGCATTTGATATTGCTGGACGTAATACAACAGCACTAAATACCGTCAGAAAAATGGAAATACTTGATGCAATTGATCCATAGAAATAAACTATAAACAGAAGAAAATAAACTGTTTCCATCATTTTCCATTAAAACGTGCTCGAAAGTTTGTTCGAAAGTTTGTTCGAAAGTTTCATCAACTACTCTTATATTGGTTGTAAAATACACCTCTGTTTTGTCGATATCGTAATCGGACTGATTATTTAATATTTACAATCCGGTTTCTATTCTCAAATGAAGGATGATTCATTGTTGCGCATAGCTCGCACTTTTATAATTAATTTTAATAATTTCGACAAATTCAAGGATCTACTTCGTTTTCTAGCCACATCCAATTTTTGTATAGATTTCTGGTGAAAGAATGTTATGCGACCGAGAGAAATTGGTACTGTGTTACTAATAATCGGACAAGCTTTGCCTTTGTTGTGCTTATTAGTTAAACATAAATTTATGAGACTATTACACAAATTGTCAGTCAACCATTAACACTACTGCTTTGTACGCCAATTTATCAATGTGTGGTTACATCCACGCAAACCCAGAACCATGCAACAACTACAATTTAAGTGTTGTAATGCATGCACAGTCAACTTGTACCAATGACTGTAATACACATGCACCAGAGAACGTTCGAGAACAAACAGTCAAATTTCTTCTGTACGCATATGCATGAATGCTTTTACTAGGAGTTTAAAAAACGCAGCCTTTCTAACCTGTTAAAATTTCAAGAGATTGTTTACTGACACGGAAGCGATTGATCAAATGTTTGTATCTGTATAAACGTGACTCAATAGTAATATTTCCAACAACGAAATTCTACCTAACGGATAAGATATATGTCCAACTGACCGATTACCGGGACGAACTTGAGAAGGAGGAGTTTTTATAGCTATATTAACATTGTATTATGTCATCGGGTGTGTAAGATGTAAGATGTAAGATGTAAGATGTAAGATGTAAAATGTACATCTCAAAATCTAGCTTACATCTTACATCCTAACACGGATGACGTAGGATAATTGACGTCGAGTTCCGAGTCGAGTATTCGTGATCCGTCGGAAGCTATTATCCGCCATTTGTATTTGTCGTTATTCGCAATCTTTCGGGAAAAAAACGATAACCCGCTCATTTTCGTAGAATACACGGACGACTAAACATTGTACCACTTACTTTGAGCTAAACGAAGGAATTTATGACTGTTTTGTGCTAGAAACACAAATGGAAAAGGTCCTGAAAGACAAATTCGTTCAACCCAGAAGCGGACGTTATAAATTAGAATTAAAGCTAATTAAAAGCGTTGTTTCCACCATGAAAACTGTATTGTTCCATTTTTCATTCGTATTAGGTTATTTATTGGAAATGAATTAGAAATGTAATTGCTTGTTGCGGAATGCAGAAACATCGAAACAATTTTGTCGTTTTTTATCTGCCCAAAGTTAAATATCTTCAACATTTCTACAAATAGAGTTTTTCTTTTATCTTTCAGGCAGTAATAAAGCCATTTAAAAGTTGTAGTAGATTAACTTTAAATATAATAGTAATTAAAGAAAAGTTGACATTCTAAGAAAGATTTTTCATGACGTTGTGTTTTGTCATACCAAATTTTGGTTGATATTTTCCCATCTTTTTGCATTATAAATTGACAACAAAATTGCAAATACTTACGCACTCCTCGAGTGCCTATTTTTATCAATTGTTGTCAGATCTCTTCCACCGTCACTATACCGCTTAGGGGCAGTTGCTATTCAATGTACTCTGGAACAGAACGAAAGTAACGAAATGTCCACTTAAGATCCCATTCCCTTGCTAAAAAATGTATTTCCTCGGTAGGACAAGATCATCATTGCTGGTGACTTTAACCTATCAAAGTATTTCTTGGATAGATTCTAGGTATACTTCACCTGGAAATTTCTGCGATATTCTGGATGAATACAGTATTCAACTCTCAACTTTGTCTGTTCCCAACAATACAATCGAATATTCTGGATCTACTGATTACGAATCAACTTGAACAAGTATCGCCGTTCATACAGGCGTTTGCGCTCCAATGGTTTTAGATGTCTTCAGATCACAAAATTATTCGTTTTATGTTTTCCACGACGACTACTATTATCATGCCTGATAAACGTTTGATCTACGACTACAGACGAGCTAACTTTGATACCCAAGAAAACAGCTAATGGACATGAGTGCCTGAATTTGAGTCATTATGACGTTTAACAAAACCAAGTCGCCTACCGCAGTTCAATTCAATTTTAGTGGCATGGGAGCCATTTATACCATCCGCCCAGAAGTGACGACTTGTCCGCTTATCTGACCTAGTCTCTATTGAAGCGCACTGCAGGCATCCAACCCAGGGGCCGGTGCATTTAACAAATACATCAGTATTTTCATGTACAACGATCAATACAACTGTATATGTTAGCCTGTCACTCACTCAATCAATCAATCAATCAATCAATCAATCAATCAATCAAAATGTTTAATCAACATGAGATGACCAAACTAGGTTATGTGTCATCATGATACCTAGATCTTTAAATTTGTCTGTTACTTCAAGTTTCTTATCTGATAGATAGTATTCGGGTAGAGAGAGGCGCTGCTGCATAGCGCGTTCTTATACTCTTTAGTCCTGATTTAATTAAGAGCGTGGAGTCCAATATCTCTAAGACGAAGGCCACAACTTAAAATGTTCCATATCTTACATTTTCTAATAAAGCAAGAAATCTGGATGTAACAGTGTTCGCAAATGATATTATAAATTTAAGTAACTTCTTATATTCCTTTTGCTTCTGGTAATTCTGCATCATGTTATTGTTGGTCGAGTATTGTCGTCTATATAATATAATTATGTATACCGTAGTTATTGATGATCTTGTACAGTGGAATTAGATCCAACTAATTAGTATTCGACCGTATAGTACGTGCCAGTACGTTAAGGGTAAAAAGTCAAGTCGAAGTAGTCTTGTTGTTTTTTATTGCTCTTCTCTGTACTTTCTCGATATTCGCAATTAATTGGATGGATTGCGGGGACAAGCGAAGGATGGCGCCAAGGATGTTTGAATTAACCATGCAATAGTGCTGTTTTTCAGTTTATACAGAGAACTTTACATTTCGATTGACTAACGCGCAATCTGTTTTTACCAGACCAACAGTGAAGACTCTGGATTACAAGGATTCAGTTTGCTGTGGTCCACAATATCGAATGCCTAAAAGCAGCATTCATAAAAACAACGTTAAATTGTAAACCTTCTTTGTCCAAGTCCTTCCCGATAGTGTGTAAAATCGATAATAACTGAGCTGTGCATGATATACCGTGAATATATTTGTTTGAGGATACTTCGTTCAAGACTCTTGCTTATGATGGATAAAAGAGAAATGGGACGGTAATTCTCAAGGTGATCTTTGTTTCCTTTCTTACTTTCTTTTGCAGAGGAATTATGTTGGCTAATTTCCATAAGGCGAGAACTTGGGACAAGCTGAACGATTTTGTAACGAGGTAGTGAAGCGAATTAGGTGCTAATTGAAACGGACATTTTTTCAGAATGCGTGCAGGAAAACCATCACGATCACGGGCCTTTGAATTCTCTAGGAATAATTGGGGGAGGGGGTGTATATTCATATATTCATGTTCACACACTGTGAAAACAATCGCTTTCAAAAGAAATCCGTCGGGCAGAACACGAATATATTCAGTATAATATGAATATTCACCCCCTCTGGCCCTGCATTTTGGCGGAACTAGGGAATACAATCTATATGTGGCATGTATCTGAACGCATTTGCTCAAATGATCTCTAACAAATGGCTTTTCTTCGCAGAAACAACGGCACCACGCCAGCACGGTTCATTACATTTTCATATATTTGAGTTCTGGGAAGATATTATAAAAGCGCCAGGTCCCTCGATGGTGTTCTAAGATGTTGTTAGCTGTCTGATGTCATTTTGTATGTTTATTATACTGTCTAGATTGTTCGTTATTAATGCTAATGTATAATTATGTAATTAACGTGTCGACGTAATTTGGGTAACTGTGGTGCATTCGCTGGCGCTACATGTTACCCTTTTGTAGTTAAATCATTTATTCAATGGGATTGTTACAAGAGATTGCTATAGGTCCAAATCTTTGTTTTCATAAACTAAGTAGAAATCGTATAATTATAAAGTAATCAAGTTAATGGATTAAGTAAACATGAGTGTTTTTGGTTTCTTGCAGCCAAAGAACGACGCACAGCACTATCCGTTTTGTACTAGGTTACCCAAAAATATGCCTCCACTATACGTTTTCTGGTATTACCGCTAAATACTGTAAAAGTATCAGATTTTTAATTACTGCATGGAGAAAATAACTATATAGTCATATCATTTCATTCGATTGATATTTAGTTACAACAAAATATACTATTATATCAACTTATCCTACTGTGCAAATTAAAATACAGAACAGTACGGAACTCCGAATAGGACTTGATTTTTTCCCTTGCTCTGTTTTACTAAAATACTCATTGGTTCCCGTAATTTTAAGCTTGATATAATTAATAAAATGTATTATGAAATTATAGAGTATTTAAATTAATCGTTTTCGACCGGCAAGTATGTCACTTGAAAGGTATATGTTATAAATGAACACGTTTCATTTGCCATCACATAAACCGGCATATCGTATTGTGCTTGTGGCGCGATGATGATAACATTCCAAATGAACAGGTTTTGTGATCGCTGTGACAATAAAAGGCAAACTATAAATTTTCTAAAGAACGATCGAGTTCTAAACGCTGATCACTGTAAAAAATCACGAAACAGTTTCATCAGTGCTCTATAGAGTATAGGTATATGTATTTACTGAAGGAGAATGTTTGATCTATATTAGCAGCATGCATTGTGTGTCTATAACATACGCTTAGATCTTAACAGGATATGATAACGACGTATAGGCCTACTGCTTACCTTTTAAAAGCTTTCGAACGGTTGGTGTTACCTTCATACTCAAGTCAAGTCGATTTCAACTAAGCATTATAATGTATATATATATATATAATCGACAAGTTCATCGCAAACAGACTGGGAAGAAACTTTTAACATAACTTAGCTATACTGATTGGTCACCGGTTGTCAAACAGGTTGTTACATATGAGACCTATGTTTTATTACGCCTTCGCAGTGAACAATGAACGTCTCTGGCTAATTAAATGAAGCGAAACATCGAATTCCATGGATTCTATATAATATATTTATATAAGTCCCGGTTTAATGTGATCGGTGCAATTATAGCTTCAAAGCTGCAAGACTCTGAACAAAAGCAAAATGGTTAATGATCAACGGGAAAAGAAATGATAATTGTCAATAGACATGTTTTGAGAGTCGCTTTTGTATCCTTTGTTGCAATAATAATTGTGACTTTTACATTACAAGGTACGTTTTTCTCTATCATGCTTATATCTGACATTAACCTTTAAGATCTTTTCCGCGGTTCCAGAGCTTTTTCGTTAGCTTATTATATATACATTTAATAAGCAGAGATATTCATCACAATTATGGTTATCATGCAATGGCCGCATATAGTTCAATGGATATTAGGGATATTCCGTTAATATATTTAGCAGACTATGATAAACTGTTACTAACTACATGTACAACTAAACAAGTTAAAATCTGAGTCTATAATATTGAAAGTGGGTATTGTATGTGTACGTGATAAATGTGACCGACATGGCCGATATACATCATATCAAAATGCCGGCATAGAACGTATAGTCTATAGGACCTGTATAGGAGTTTGTATGCGTTTTATTTACCACAGGTAATCTCAACTGTTTTAGGGTAAAATGACCATGGCGGTCAACATAGCATATGTGCCAAAACCTGAATCGGGGACGAAAGTCCTGAAAATGACCTCGCCCTGAAACTGCAGTGCCGACATAGCTCTAACTTCCGAAAACGAAAAGCGACAGCCTTTCTGAAGTGCTTATAGTGTTTAGAAGGGTTGCTTTTTGGGGCGGTTATTGGAAGGAAAAATTTGTCTAAGTTAATATTTTACAAGAAAATGACCATGTACCACCCCAGGTCAACTGCTAATTATGCATAAAGTAGCTTATATACCTGGCAGAAATTAAATTTTCTTATTTCCTGAAAAAATTATCATGGGATGAAAAACTATGCTTAATTTAATATAATTATTGTAGATTTCATAAGGATTGTCATTGTTTTCTATAAATATAATACATTTTATTTCAGTTACTCCCCACGATTTCAGCCATATTTTGCTAAGTGCTTCTCTATATTGTGTAATGTCGATAGTAATTGAGATGTGCTAGATCTTCCACTAATGAATCCATATTGTGCTGAGTGAACGCTTTCCTGTATGCGTAGAGATAGGTGGTTTAGGACACAGCGTTCAAGAGTTTTGCTGACAATGCTTAACAAAGAAATGGGACGGTAATTTTCCACGTGTTCTTTTACACCTTTCTTGTGTAGAGGGACGATGTTGGCTAACTTCCATTCGGTGGGAATCTGTGATAAGCGGAGCGACTTTGTGACCAGGTAGTGTAGAGAAGGAGCAAGTTGAAATGCACATTCCTTTAAAACACGGGAAGGAAACCATCAGGACCATGAGCCTTGAAGGGATCTAAGTTCTGTACGGCTAGGTATACTTCTTCTAGAGAGAGGTCGATGGATGATATACTGGATAGTGGAGGTGAGGAATTAGGCAGAGGTGATGAACATTTTTCCGAGAAGTTGGTGTAGGCCGAATGGAAATATTCATTGAACATTGTTGCAATATCACGAGGTGTGTTTGCATGTAATCTAGTCTCCGGAATGTTGGAATTTGTCCTTGAAACTGACTTAGGGACAGTTCCGGTGTTCGAGTTGATTTTAAATACAGACCAAAAACGTTTTGGATTGATTCGTAGGGTGTTTCCAAAGGATGAGAAAAACAACTTTCTACTTCCTTTAATTAATTTTTTAACGTCAGTTCTTAGCTGGTTGAATTTTGCCTTGAGATATTCAGTCCCTCGGCTGAGAAATCTCTTTCGGGCAGTTACTTTTTTGCGGATTTGATCATTTTGATGTAGAATGGTTGATGTTATCCAAGGAGGTGTGCGATGGGGGTCTACGTGTTTGGTAGGGATAAATTCATTCATAGCTGACAACATAGCTTTCTTCCAGGTGAACCAGTCGTCATCAATACTGCATCCCGTCCCATTGTTTGTTGATAGAGTGCGAAGGTCCATATCGTTTAGTTCTTTTCTTAAACCGTCAAAGTTTGCTCGTCTGTAATCGTAGATCAAACGTTTGTTTGGGAGGACAATATTTGATGAAGTGGAGAGTTTGGAAGTGTATGATATTATGATCAGAATTCATTCCTAACTCAGTTGTAGGGTATAGACGGCCGTTAATGTTATGTGTTCTTGTTGGTTGGTAATTAGTAAATCCAGAATGTTCGACTCTCTAGTGGGAACCAAACAAAGTTGGGACATGAAGTAGTCGTCTAATACATCACAGAAGTTCTGATTCAATGATTCTATTGCGGTATAGTTAGAATCTGTCCAAGAAATATTCAGGAGGTTAAAGTCACCGGCGATAAGGATCTTGTCGTAGACAGGAAATAACTTATCAGCAAAGAAACGGAAATCAGACTCATATCATTACTGTCGGGAGGTCTGTAACAACATACAATTGATTGTTGATTATAAATTGAATTGCGTAATTAAAGAACTAATCGATTAAACCAAGTTCTAATAGATGTTCCAATTTGGATTTGAAATTGTTCCATAGACGTACGTAGTTGTTGTCGCGTGAGCCGTATGCTTGCGTGAAAGTCAATGGTTCAAATTTAACGGATACAAATCCTCACTGCAAATTAATCCGCTATTGTTTCCACAAATAAGCAAAAGTTCAGTTTGTTGTATGAGAATCCAAAAGAATTAATTGAAAAGTCACTCGCAAATTCTCGCAAATTCCTCGTGGGCTACATGACAGGGGGGGGTTGAATAATTTCACGAAACGTTTGTTTTCCACCACAGCAACCTAACTAAATACATTATATTTATTGTATTTTTATGATAGATGATAAAAACAATAAATATTTGCGTATTTTTATCATCAATCATAAAAAATAAATATATATATATACAATAAATATAATGTATTTAGTTAGGTTGCTGTGGTGGCGAACAAACGTTTCGTGAAAATATCCCCCCCCCCTGTCATGTAGCCCACGAGGAATTTTCGCGAACTTTGCGCGTGACGTTTGAATTACTTCTTTTGGATTCTCATACAACAAGTGTTATGGGAGGGTTTTTCCTTTCAAGTATAACTAATGTTTTCAATTTTTTTATTGGGACTATTCCACAATGAAGTACTCGTGGATTCTGTCATCTAAAGACATGTGAAGACGAAGAAGTGGAATTTATCGGGCAGAGAAGCGGCGAGCCATTAAAATGGCGGCAATATTAATTTGACAAAATAACGAAGGACACAATATCGAAGATAAAATACACCGCACTGTTTCAAAACTTGATGAAACTTGGTTGAAATCTTCTTTAGCCATTTATCGTTATGTAAAAGTACAACAACTGGATGATATTTACGAGATTTGGCAATAATAAGCAAACAAAACGGCAAAATATGGCTGAAATCGTGTTTTCGTGGGGGGGTGGTAAGTGAAATAAAGTGTATTATATTTATAGAAAACAATGACAATCCTTATGAAATTTACAATAATTTTATTAGATTAAGCATAGTTTTTCATCCCATGTTAATTTTTTTCAGGAAATAAGAAAATTTAATTTCTGTCAGGTATATAAGCTACTTTATGCATAATTAGCAGTTGACCTGGGGTGGTAAATGGTCATTTTCTTGTAAAATATTATACTTAGACAAATTTTTCCTTCCAATAACCACCGCTAAAAGCAACCCTTCTAAACACTATAAGCACTTCAGAAAGGCTGTCGCTTTTGCTTTTCTGAAGTTAGAGCTATGTCGGCACTACCGTTTCAGGGCGGGTCATTTTCAGGGCTTTCGTCCCGGATCCAGGTTTTGCCACATATGCCATGTTGACCGCCATGGTCATTTTACCCTAAAACAGTTGAGATTACCTGTGATAAATAAAACGCATACAAACTCCTATACAGGTCCTAGACTAGTAAACGTACGCGTAAAACGTATATTGGTTGATCAAATTGTATTTATTTTCTTTAATCTCACGAAAGCACAATGTTCCAATGTGATTCCTCGAATCCTGACTAGAAAACGCCGACCAGAAAATATAATGTTTCCAAAATCGGTTTTGAAATGTTTCTCTGCATGTAATTTATAGGTTTATGTGACAGGATCCACCATCAGCCAATGTCACAGATGCGTAAACGAATCTTGAAATATGAAGATACTACTGTTAGTTGTGATATTATATTTGTTGTGAGAGGAAACTCAAACTTCGTTGGTCATAGAAAACTCGTTAAAATGTACAACTGTTTAAACGATGGCAGCCACGCTTTGCAGCCAAAGAATGACTACGAATGCATGTTTTATGCGATGTTGACAAATCCAAACTGTAAAGGTTATCTCTTTTTTGCGGGCGACGATAAACTACTCCATATGGAAAGAGTATTACAGAATGAGCGAGATAGGATTTGGTATGGGAAACGGACGAATACGAAACGATTTGAAGTAAGTTTCAGCAATAGACATCTTTTCAGTTCAAACGAAATTGCCTGTTGCAAGGATGCGTTTCAAGATCTTGCATTGCTTATTCACAATGGGTTTAACAATTATAAGAAACAGTTGAATTCATCGTGGCAAAAACCATGGAACGCAGAAATTGCCTTGAATGCTCTATTGTGGAATGGAAAGGGTAAATTTGTTTGTTTCTACGAGGATGTAGAAATGTTTTATGTTCCAGTGAAATATAGGAAGGTTTTTCTTGGCGTAGCTAGTATCTTTAGTAAGGTTAAAATGCCGAATGTTATTGCTGTACCGACAATATTAAAATCTTTAGACTTGGAAAGCACTTTCATAAATATCTCCAAGTGACAAATATAATTTTACATGTATTATAATTATATTTTTTTGTTTAATCGTGTGTATTTTGAGTAACATCAGATATTATGAGGATAATGTTCATGGCAATGAAGATATGTTTATAATTTTCAGTTTTTTTCACCTATATATGATGTCATGTATAATATATTTAAAGGCCGAAAGAACAGTGGTCTAGCGCTAGGGGAGAAGAGCAAGAGAGTCTTGAAAACAACTCCAACATGAATTTGACTGAGTTAACTAGGGCCTTCCTAATTAACTTTGCCCTCCCCTTTACGCAATTTGTGAGTCCCTAACATGTTGGGGCTGCAATGCATGCATGCTGGATGGTTGATGGTATGATAGGTCATTCGTGAAGATCGTGGGGATCATAATTATTGAAATATTTACGGCCTGAAACCATGCAATGACGATTTGGAAACAGCAGCGAAGAGGTTAATATCCCGAATTAAAAAAGCTAGTCAGTCATGTTCGGGCCAGAGGTAGCTTGCATTAATGTTTTTATAGTTTGTCTAAAAACATGGCGATGTAAAAAACTTTCATTTTAGCCACGCAGTAAAGACCAAACTGGAGTTCTGATCACGCAACTGGTAAATAATATTTGGAGGAATTTTAACAACTTTGTGAAATGTGGATTTTAGAGTGTCGTATTGTACCGGACATTTTGCATCTATATCACTGTAAATTCAAGAGAGTCAAATTTCCCGTCATTTTGACTCTCTTGAATTTACAGTATATGAAGTCGTACACTGTCCTTTCGCAGTTTTTTGAACAGAATAAACCATTAATTTTATGGAATAACAAGAAATGGGTAGTTATTGGATCATTTATGCTAATTTTTATGTCACTTCCGTCGAAAATGATTAAACAAAGTAAACATCATAGCATAGTCTATCGATATTAGATCAGTGAACCCAACTATACAATTAGTTAGCCCTCTCTGAAAAGATGTTGTAAAAATGCGATTTTTATCAGGCGAAAAAAATTCGATCCTTCAGCCGCTATTGTCCTGGCAGATCGTGGACGTGTAGGCATCAAAACAACGCATGCCGATTCTTTTCTTTGTTACTGATAAAATGTACATTTTAGTGTTAACAGGTCGAAACTTTTGAGTTTTGATCCGACTTTTGCCAAATGAAAGTTGTTCATCTGCTTTTTAACTATTACGACAGACTTCGACTATTTCTTTCACAAATTAAATTTCTTCTAAACAAAACATGCATCTTTTGAATCCTCCCACTTTTATGAAGTTAAACGTATTTGTTTGGTATACTATTTTTCTTAATTTTTCACTTGCGGATCCTTCTCGAATGTTCCATTTTGTTTAGAATTCTTTGGATCGAAATCTTTGCAGTAACAAACAAAACTATTATAAATTTTATCGCCATGCAAACATACAAAGAACTTAGAATTCTTTTGTTTGAAAATAATTACTGAAAATTAATTAAAAATATGCCAGATTTGAACTTGAATTCATTATCAAATTGGTCAAATTTCAATATTCAGGCTTTTGAATTAAATTTTTGCAAACACGCTAACGAATTCTGGATAGAATTGGATAGACTGCTGATAATAAGTTCAATAAATGCACCGTGAACAGACAATCAGTGTTCTGCGCTGGAATATGGAGCACTGAAATACTCGTCCATCATTGGCCTGAGAAAATATAGACATCTATATAGGATTTCTTTGTATCTTTAGTTAAAACGATTACCGTAGAAGAGAACAGAATTTGCCTTATTTTCCTCTTTGTGGATGTCCATAACTCATGCCATTTTGCCGTCTTCTATGTTTCATAATTATATACATGTAAAATAAGTATCATAGCGAAAGAGCGAATTATATATTGGTGAAATTAAAATAATAGCGACGAGTGCTAAGATAATTTCAATAGCCAAATTTGCCAATAAAAGAAACGATTTTAGATCGATATAATTTGAGAAAGACATCTTTCGAATTCTCCGTATGATTTACATGATAAATCCCATTACATTGCAGTGGAATGCCTGTAGCCGGTATTTGGGGGCGATTTATATTATTATATAATTATATATACTGCACATAAACAATGAACGATAAACATTGTTTAACATTGCCGTAACGCCGCACAGTATTTTATATTTTTACAACGTTTCGCAAGATCAGTCATGAACAGATGAACTACTGATATATTCGCGAGACTGGGTTAAAATAATGAAGCTATGCAGGCCACCTGTTTATTTGCAACACCTCCTATCGGCGCATTGATGCGCACGCATTAAGGCGACCGTCCTTAAGCTCACTAGATGAGCAGGAACTGAGGTCAACGGCCGAACACCGTGATCTTGCCATCACGTCATGTGCTAACCAGGGAAAGGACGATGGAAGTTTCCTTTCATTGTCTCCGCCGGGTTAGCAATCACTTCAAACCGGCGATAAGGGGAAAGGAAAAGCTCTGCTAGTTGCCATCGTGAGATGCCGCGATCTTTTCTTGTAAAAAATCAGCAACGGTCGAAAAAACGGACGGATGATAGTAGCCCTGATGATGAAGGTCAGTTTTATATCATATTTTCACATATATGTATATATATATATATAATAACAACAATAATTACTTCAAGACAACTAGGATATTTTACGGATCACTAGCGTAATCGCCTTAAAGAAGGCGAATATTTCGGTAAAATATATTTTCAGGGGTTAGTAACGCACGATTTCTTGTTTTTGTTGTGTTCATAACACTTTTAAAACCTATCACGGAGCCAATGATCACCTATCAACCAACAAATATGTATTAAAATCTCAAAGGCGTTTTGCTTCTGGAATCCTTATTTAGTTCGGGAAGAACAATAGATGAATTTATTTATATGATTTGGAATTATGACTTTTTACCTTCGGAGGAAGGAACTTTGATTTTATTTTGTTTTTACTTTACGTGATTTATTTTCTAAACAAATTTACAATAGCATGTTAATATGTTGAAGTCATGAAATTTTTAAACTTAATATCAGTTTTTTGTCTATCAACTAAAACCAAAGTATAGGAAAAATAATTATCATATATATTCTTACATCTTACATGCAACTAATTCGTTGTTTTAATAGATGTTCCGGATTTAAACAGCGGTTCAAGCACAACATTTAACATATTTCCAGCCAATTTTACAGGTAAATTCAAGACCATCAACTCGGTACCTGTTAAGGTTAAACGACTTAGAACAAACAGTCATAAATAAAAATTTCCTCATCATTCTGATCCCATTGTTCAAAAACAATTTCTTTTAGAACCATATATCATCATTTCTTGTGCTCTTGGCAAGACATGTATAGAAATTCAACGTCTTATTTAAGATTTCTTAGCCATCTTGAAATAATATAATCAATAATTAAGAGGCATATCATGTTGCTATGGTTGGGCAGTTCTTGTTTAACAAATAATTAGAAGCGGTTGGGTATTAACTCAATATACCATGAAGCGAAGGTCACCGGGGGCATACATGTACAAGATTTTCAATTTATATGTTACTATTAACGTTATTCGTTTGAATACATTTGGCATTTACCTCTCATTTGATCAGGTTTTCATCCTTTGAAATGCAGCTGTGCCTCGTACACTGGCACTTTGGATTCATGTTACAGCGTTCAATTAACATTTTTTTCACTTCATACCCGCGGCTGATCGAATTAATATACCATGGCCCTTCTGGACCTACAATGAACAAGGACTAACAGAGTTCTTTGCTATCCAGTTCAAAAACTCAAGTTACTTTTAGGATAGTTTATATTTTATATTTCCCACGATTCAGTCCCACTATGCAAATATTGCCATGTTTAGGGACAAGTCATTATTAATGCAGGTAGGGGCCCGGAGGAAATTTTTATGAATAGCAAAAATTTTTCATGACCCCTTATTTTTCTAACAAAATCATTTTATCCCCCCCCCCCTATTGAAGCAACATATTTCATAGCCCCCCCCCCAAAAAAAATTCTGAATTCAATGACTCTAAGTCAGTTTCGTAACCATCTTTCCTGCCCTCATACTCAAGGTGGACAGGAGTGACTTCAGTTTCACAATAGACACAATAGATAATTCAGACTTTATACCTGAAAAGTTGTTGGCCCTCAAACAAAAAACCTACACATCAGGCCTACCTTTACTAATTGAAAAAAATACATTTGTGTCTGGTGGAAGCATTATATTGAAGAGATGGCATGCAGGAGAGACTGTCAACAACATGCAGAAACAGAACATGTCAAAGAGGTCCACTTGGTTAAAAAGCGTAAAACAGGGCAACAACTGTCAATTGAATCTTGCATTTGCAAATGCAGTGCATGACCCTTCAGACAAATTCTACGGTGATGATGAGGATTGAGGATGACAATTTCCATATACAGTAGCTAGAACACAACTTTTCGGTTCAATATATTGGGCATTACTGTTCAATGTATGTATGTATACTGTATATATATATATATATATATATATATATATATATATATATATATATATATATATATATATATATATATATATATATATATATATATATAATATATATATATATATATATATATCCATTACTCTTTTGATATTATCATATTACATGTTACAAACTATTCCATAGATTTTATGTTCAAAATATTTTCTGCCCCACCCCCACCCCCCCTTCACTGCTCAAAAATTTTTTGTGGCCCCTCTAAATTTCCTCCGGCCCCTACCCGGCATTAATAATGACTGGTCCCTTATAAACTATAAATACAATCAATTTCTAAAGAAATGAATAATGGTGAGTTGAGGGGGAGGGGCAACCTCGCAAGCCAGGGTCTTCTACCTACGCTGGGCTGCGGCGAAGACCCTGGTTCAGGCTGGTCACGTGACACTTTTACTTACTCTCCACCTTGGGGGGGATGGGTAGAACACCAGTGGTGCAAAAATCGACTTCCGGTTGAAAACAGCGTGTATCGTCGTTTCGAAGGGGTGAAGAGCGCAAATTTTGGTAGCTTGCTTCGACGCAAATATAGCAGATAAAATGGAAAGAGGATCTAAATGTATGATTTTCTTTGCTTGCTTACATTTCGCTATTACAAATAGCTTATATTCTAATATTATGTTAAAACCAAAGCAAGTTATTTGTTTGGAAAAATTGTTTTTTGGCTCGGATGTACTGGCGGTTCTTCCAACAGGTTATGGGAAATCGTTAATATATCAGATTCTACCGTTGCTGTTGTACTGCAAAGAATGGTTAGAAGGAAGCCAGATTCAACGTTCCATTAATGAATGCGACTTAACGTCTGTCGTTATTGTTATTTCCCCTCTAAATTCGCTCATTAACGACCAAATTCGGAAGATACTTACGACAGGCCTTCGAGTGTCCATATTAAATGTCAACAGAACTTGTGATGATATTACAAGTGATTCTAGCGACGACGAAGTTCTCTGCGACGTAGTTGAACTTGACAAAAAGGAAAGACTGCTTGCTGGTTATTATAACATTTTATTTGCACATCCTGAATCACTGTTATCTAGCAGATTTGGACGAAGTCTTGTCAATAGTGTGGTCTATCAAAAAAATGTTTGTGCTCTTGTCATTGATGAAGCACACTGCATCATAGAATGGTATGTATATAAATATGTGTATGTATGTATGTATATAAATTATGAGATAACAAATTTGTATGGTTTACCTGTAATAGTTTGGAAGAAATGTTATTCGCTAATATAGAACCTACTTTAACATTATAAATGCACAATGTGTCAATTACAGTAGCTAGACTTTTGTACTACAGTTAGAATACAGACCCTAGCAATAACGGGGAATTTGAAACTTTCCTTGACTATAATGTTTATTGAATGTATAGATTTATGATACATTCTAACATGCACTTATCATTGTGCTTTTAGGGGAGATGATTTTAGAAAAGATTATGGAAAGATTGGAATGTTGTGTGCAAGTTTTCCCAATGCTCCGGTCCTTGCATTGACTGCAACTGCAAATAAAATGGACAGAAAGCATGTCAAAGAATCGCTTGGGTTAAAGAATTGTGCCGAGTTGGTAGCAAATCCTGATCGTAGGAATATATTTTATGAGAAATGTTTTAGAAAGGGACAAGACATTGACTCCATTGAGAACATTTGTAGACCAATTGCCAATGACCTAATGAATATGACCATCAACTATCCATTGACAATTATGTATATGCCACTTAAATGGTGTGGGTTTGTATATAGACTGTTTGAGAGCATCCTGGGATTGTATCAGTACTACCCATCCAATTCTTCACCTGTTCTAAGAAACAGACTATTTGCTCAATTCCATGCACCCCAAACAACCAGTATGAAGGAAGAAATATTATGCCAGCTGAATTCAGAGAAATCAAACCTCAGAGTGGTATTCGCTACAGTTGCATTTGGAATGGGAGTAGACATACATTCAGTTAGGCAAATTATTCATATTGGACCGCCCAGAACGATAAGGGAGTATTTCCAAGAAACTGGTAGAGCAGGCAGAGATGGTAAGTTTTCAAAAGCTATCCTCTATTACAGCAACAGAGATATTGCTCAGAACAAACCAGGTTTCCAAGAAGAAGTAAGGACATACTGCCATTGCAATGATCAATGCTTGCGATGCTTACTTCTACAGTTTTTGGATGTCAACCTACCAGTACCTGTTTCACCTGGACATTTATGTTGCAGTGTGTGTAAGGAAACCTGTGAATGCATCAAGTGCATTATAGATACTGGTATGTAAATTATTTAACCATTAAGGCACAATTATTCTGGTTTCCAAATATGATCAGTTGGTGTTAAAAAATGAGCTTACATTGCACCTTAATGTTTTTATAATTTACATGTCAAATATAAACACAATTAATTTCACCGGAAACATCAGAGACAGCAGCACATCAAAAATATTGGGTTGACATTTTCTTGCAATTGTGTAAACATAATAAATACTTAAATTCAACTTTTATAGTTTGAATATAGTCCCAATGGACAATACTTTTCCCAACCAACTCGTATTTAACATATGGAACACAGTAATTGGTTATGAACAGAAAAGAAACATAAAATAATTTTCGACCTTAATAAAAAAATGTACGTTTATTTTCTGGTCGTAACCAATTACTGTGTTCCATCTATATAAATATATATATATATATATACCGGGTGTCCCAAAAAAAAGTACTCCGGTTTGATTCGAAATAACTTCTAAACAAGTAAAGCTTTTAAAGAGAAATAACTTGCATCAAATAGAGGAAGGACTAACTTAGATTTTGATATATTACAGTTGTATTTCACTTAAAAATTCACGGAGATATTAATGTTTAAAATCGGGAGCATATTTCTTGATGTGTCTGAAATATGCCAAAAACAGCGTATCAAATATTAATCAAGATTTACCCGACTGAAACATGCACTATTACCTGTAAATAAATGACACTTGACAAATTGTTTATTATGAAACAAAGTATTATCATCTACAAAATACAAGCAAGATTTATTCGTCCGAAATCCGTGTGTGTTCCTAGCACGAATACGTTTCCTTATTTCATGAGACCACTGCATCGCGAAGGATCGTCATGGATCGTTCGCAGTTCTGAATTAGGGCACGCTGTCACATTGGAATTGTGAATTTTCTAACTTCACATTGAATGAATTTTCTAACTTCTGCAACGTTCTGAAATCTTGTTAAGAACACCCAAACTCTTTTGCCTTTCTTAATCTTGGCAAGTTCAGAATAAACTGAGAATCAAACACAATCAAACCATACAACTCCATAAGTAAAGACATAACAAGCATGCAACTCCCCAGAGACATCCAACATTTTTGGAACAAAACGTAACAAAATAGTAGCTTTGATACTGTGATGTGTATTTGCAAAAAGCAATATTATTTCCTCCATTAAAGAACAATATTAATCCTGCTCTAACCGAGAAATAATCAACTTTGTTTTGAACCCATGAAAAACATAAAAAAATAGGTTATTTAAGAAAAATTGAAGCGCCTGCCTTGCATGGTCTTTCAGTACCTTAAGTTTGCAAAGACCTATTAAATACTTACATAATTTCGAACGTTCATATTTCAGGAAACAATAAGTTAAGACTTACATGTAAGATGTCTAAATCTACGCCATATCCCTTACAAACCCTAACGACAATTCGCTGAAATACAATTTACCCTGATATGTCATTAAGCAAACAAACGCTGGAGTTAAAATTTGATACGCTGATTATCCCAAAATATGCTCCCGATTTTGAACATTAATATCTCCGTGAATTTTTAAGTAAAATACAACTGTAATATATCAAAATCTAAGTTAGTCCTTCCTCTATTTAATGCAAGTTATTTCTGTTTGATAGCTTTACTTGTTTAGAAGTTATTATAAATCAAACCGGAGTACTTTTTTTTGGGACACCCGGTATATATATCATATAAAACATTAATGGCAAAATGACACCTTTACAGCGATGTGTTTTAATAAGCTTACTTGTTTTTAAAATTGGTCAATTTGTAATTTGAGCATTAACAAGATCAAATTTAATCCAATTTACTCTTTGTCACAAGGTCATTAAAACACATAGTTGAAAGGTGCTAGATAAGTTTGTATTTAATCACAATGATTATTTTAATGCAGTCAAATTGTTTCATCTTCATCCTCTGAAGAAATGTCTACTGGTCCACGTTTAAGAAGGTTTTTCTTGTGTCGTTTCAACCAGTCATGAAATGCATTATTGTCTAGAGTACTTAACGTGTCTGATGATGCATCTTCAAAACTTTCATGCTGACGATTGTCAACCTGTTCAAATGGTTTTAATTCAATGAGATCATCAATTATGATTTTCTCATCTTTCAGAGACGATTTGTGACTATGATGGGATGATTTGCTCTTTATTCCCAAAGCTAAGTCAAGGTTTTTCACAAGTGCCATTGTGCCGCCTGCTGCCCGACTTAACCTTTCTATTGACTTAGGTGTTTTATTGGCACTCATTCCTTTTATTCCTTTCTTCAGCTCTCTATTCATAACTTCCTGTAGAAGATCTATTTCCATATTATGGTCCAGTCCTCCTCTCAGGGTTGCAAGGGAAGCCCACCTTGTCTGGTGAGCTTGTGCTTCAGTAAGGAAAACAGTATCCTGTAAGATGCTGATGAACATTTCAATTGCGTAGATATTGTAACCAGTATCACTCTTGAAATGTTTTAACAATACCTTACGTAATGACACTAACCGGTCACCATCTCCCATTCTCACGGCACGTTTGAAATCTTCTAATATGAAGAAAAATCGTACAAGGCAGATGGAGTACTCTCTTACACGATCTGGTTGCTGGTCATCAGGCTCTTCTTCACAATCAGCATCATGTGTAGTTTGCATTAAATATTCTTCAACAAACTTATCGAGAATTGTATCAAAATATAATTTCTGGTCACCATTGCCTTGTACCACATCATAAGGTGGAATGTTGTGACTTGGGGAGTCATCAAGTGCTGACATGCCAAAAAATTGCAAGAAAGCAGCAACCGTATATGCCCGACCAACACTTAGAAACAATTGCTCGCATTCTTCGACGTGTTTCACATCACGAGTAACATTTCTACGTTGCAATTTCTCCCTAAAGAATCTGAGTGTGCCTGCTGCTCACCCAGAATTCTTGTAGAGTTTCTTGAAAATTAGCTAGAAAAAACCCCAATAAAATTATGAAAATTAGAAATGTACATTTGTTGCTTTTTTGCTTACTGTCAGTGAGTAAAAGCCAGTGTTGTAACAAGTCACCTACAGGTCGAGTCATGAGTCGAGTCACTCAAAGGTCAAGTAGAGTCATTTCAGTTTCTGATTGAGTCGAGTCAGCGGCTTCACTCAAGTTGGGACATAGATTCATGTTTCGCTGTTTATAATTTATGGTTTGTGGTTAGGGTTAGGATTAGCATTCATAAATAGCAAAACATGAATCTATAACATCCAGTTGAGTCAGCGGCTTTACTCCAGTCAAGTCAATGGTTTAAGTCAAGTTGAGTCAATAGCAAGTCCACCCATCGCTTTCTGTAATGGCTCTCTACCCTAGCTTGCAGTCCGAAATTAGTAATCAAATTTACCTTTTAAGCTAATCACTTTTAATTAGTCATTTAATAACAGTATCTGGGCAGCTAGGCTGTATATCACAGTTCTAGTCAATATTAACTATGACCACATGAGATTGTCTCATCATGCCTGCTGATCGAGTGTACGTACATACAACTAGCAAAACTTGCAATCGGAGTCAGAATTAACAAAGAATAGACTTTAATTAATCCTGCTTTCTAAGTCAATTTGAAATTATATAGTGCTTCTTATTCATACCATTAAAATGAAAAGAGCTTGTCAGAATTAGGATAAGTACAAAACAATTTGAGACTCCATTTTAAAAACTGGCACTTAATAAGCATTGTTTCTAAAGCTGATGAATAACATTGTCAGAGTTTTGCAATAAATTGCCTTGTCTCATTATAACAATTCAAATGCAATGTTTGCAATTACCTTCAAAAAACTTCTCTTGCAGTGCCAGTCTGCACACTTTATTGGGTAGATATGACTGATCTGATCCTTTGCAGTATGGCAGCCAGCTCGTAAATCTTTGGCTCCAGCTATTCGCACTCGGGTGAGCTGATCACCATAACATGGTACTCGCACCTTTGCTAAGGGATCATTCGGATCAGCAACAGGGTGGACATGTGATAATGGCTGGTCAGGTTGGGAGGTAGATGGTAATGATGGAAGGGTCACATGGTGGGCATTTGAGATATCTTTCTCAGGTGGAATTTTGCCTGCCAGAGCATAAATGTGGTGGACCCATTTTTCCAGCTGATCCAACACATCCACAATTTCTGCATACCTCTTTTCATCTTTAAACAGGACAGGGAAGGGCACAACAAGGGACTTTTGTTGCATCTCTACTTTATGTTGCATTGGTACATCAAAATGAGTCACCAAGTCCTTGAGGAATTTAAAGGTTGGGATGTATTCACAAAGAATATGTGCGGCTATTGACTTATAAACTCGCTGTTGAATTGCAATATCACTGTCCGATAACTGGACTAATTTGACAACATCACAAGAAGCTAAGGACTGCTGTGGCTCTTCATCTGGCAAGTGGCTGGATGAAACATGATCAAACACTATAGATGTTGCTACGGCATGCACACTCTGGTTTTGGTTATCTGACCGCATTTCATGAACATGCTCCTCCCAGTCAATGTTGTCAATGACAAAGGAGAATGTTTTTCCATCCTTAACTTCCTGTACGACTTTGTCTAGAAAATGAGCACCAATGTCTTCCTGTATGGTATACTTCATTGTTTTTACCAGACAAAGACCAAACTTGTTGAATTTCTCATATACCTACAGTATACATATAAAAAAGGACATGCAAAGCTTTAGTAACACAATTAGCCAAAATATTAACTAATGTTGCTAATTTAAGTTATTTTCACCATTAATATTTATTTAAAATAAGCTTTTGGCACGTGAACCCATGTCGTCTTCAGGGTACTAAAACGTTGGACAACAGTACAATATTAGTATGTTAGGGTTTGTAATCCAAGTGAGAATATATACATTTTAAGACCTAACCAGGAACGACTGCGAAAATGCAGCACAAGGTCCTCTGGTAGGAATTGAACCCACAGCCACAGTACAAGCGCGTTTTAAGGCTGATTTCCACTGTTGCGTTTTTCATACGTACGTACACGCACGTAAAACTTTATGAAATAACCAAATAAATAAAGCAACAGAATTTAGTGTTCCACAAGTTTTAGTATGCATTTGTCAACTTATTTGTAAAATGTTAAAAAAATAGAAGGATTCAAAGTTTTATGTGCGTGTACGTGCGTACGAAAAACGCAACAGCGGAAATCAGCCTTTAATATAATAATTGGCAATTTTAGTCTATTAGAACAATGTATGTAATATTTTAGTCTTTAGACCAGTTTTACAGTAACTGTAATGCGCCGCAAATCGTCACGGCCCGTGCAATATTTACTTATCTATCCAAACGAATATAAACTATAAATTATATAACAAGACTCAGCAGGCTTTTGTTTTGATACGATTGCGTTTAATGTTGCGTGACATATCACAACAATAGAATTCGACTTGATTGAAATGAAATTGACAACACCAGGCACAAAATCTGTGCACTATTTGCGACAGAAATAATAAATTTTATGAACATTGAAAATCCCATGAAAAGGTGCGTAAAAAATAGCTTATGCCCAAGTATAATACAAGTAAGATTAGTGGCTTTGCTACGAACTATATAATATTAAAATTTAAAACAAATTTGCAAAAAGTTTTAGCTGCTCATCACAACGCTTGTACAGACTATACAGGGTGTATAAAAAAAACCTGCAAACACCATAAATTATAATTACCGTTTCAATTATAGGCATTGAAACGCTAATTTTGATACACCCTGTATACAAAAAAAAAACACGAAACATTGTTTATCGGCAGTCAAAAAAAATTAGTCAAATAGATATTTTGTGTTAATTTACCTCCGTGTTGGTGTCACTGTCAGCTAGTAAGATGGTAATAAGGCGTTGTATTAAACTCAATTCATGACATCGTCTAAACATCAACACGCTGTAAATAAGGCACAGAGGAGCAACTTTTTTTCGTTGCCACAGTCCAAATCTAGCATCTGGGATAAACTTGTGAATATTACTGGGCACACAGTTCGTAGCTCTTTGAGAATATTCTCCAACGAAAAACTACTCAGCGTCAAAATCCTTTCTGCGAAGAACAGAATTCATGTCTCTTCGCGCGATCTTTCGTAGTTCTTCATCTATTTTCTTGAGTATTTCACCGAACGGCAATCCATTCAGGGCCGGTTTGGAAACGGTGTCTTCGACGGTCTGAGTTTCAACATTAATCTATATTTATGATAAACCAAAAATTATATAAAGTTTTAATTTTAAAATATTATAAAATGAAAGTTCCCTAGATGAAGCATATAGAATGATTATTTACAGTAAATATAGCATATACCTTGGGCAATGTAGGTTCCAAGGGGAGATCGTATGTTTCAAATGATGAGGAAAGGCTTCAACTGACGACTTTGTCTTTGAGAGGATTTACCACGAATTAGTGTGTCTGTTTTTGCACTCTTTTCATCAGCGGTAGGTGCAGAAGGCGAAAACTCAACGCATCTCTTTTGGCGCATCATGGAGTCTTGGTTATCACATATCATGTTTTTAAACTTCATGAAGTTATCCAGTCGTCTTTCACAAGGTCGGCATACGAGATGAGGAAGTGAATCGCCACGCAGTAGTTTTCCATCGTATAATAATTCGGCAGAAGCAAGCACGTTTACACTGGCCTTATTGTACAGGTTTTTGCAGTGTTTTGGATCGATTATGCTGCAACAAAGTCGACACATAGACTTTGAATCTATGTTCGATTTGGCGTATACCTTCTTTGGCGTTTCTTTTCGCTGCGCCATATTTGCTATCTGAATGTGTGAGCCGCGATTTTTTAGTATATATTGCATTTCGGCATTGCAAAAGACATCACGGCGCCAGACGTCCCATTTGCAAATAAGTGCTAAAAGCAGCATATTGACTTTGCCACCCCTCCCTACGAGTTGAATTGAGCGCTAATTAAAAATCTCCCAGATTTTGGGAGATTTTGAGGTGTCACGTGACCAGCCTGAACCAGGGTCTTCACCGCAGCCCAGCGTAGGTAGAAGACCCTGGCTTGCGAGGTTGATATACATGTTCGTTCCTTTAGAATCAACAGTAGCAAACCTCTTACGTCAAACCATTTGTTTTTCAGGCTACGTCAAAAACAATTCAAAAACTGCAGAAAAAGTCCTAATTATGACCGACGGCAAGCTTGCTTCTACTCTGGGGCATTATGCTTGAAAATTGGCAGACATTTATTGACCAAACACAAGCAAGAATATCATGTAGTTCAGGCCTTGTCCTATAAACTACCATTTAGTCATCTCTATATATAATCACAAATTTAATTTGTATCTTTAGGTGTTATTTAAATATGTCATGGCACATAAATTTATTAGGTATCGACCTGTTGTATTCTTTGGGATCGACCATTGGGGTAGCAGAAAAAATCCTTACATTTTCGCAAGGGCCGACCGTGATTCACTTGAACCTTTAACAGGACCGGATTGCCTGAGGAGTTTTACCTTAAAATGTGTCCCGGAATTGAAAAATCATAAAAATATCATGGGCACCAAGCTTCGAAAGTACATAGCAACAATAAGTCAAGTTCTCATATACTGTGTCAGATATACTAATATACATGTTCGTTCCTTTAGAATCAACAGTACCAAACCTCTTACGTCAAACCATTTGTTTTTCAGGCTACGTCAAAAACAATTCAAAAACTGAAGAAAAAGTCCTAATTATGACCGACGGCAAGCTTGCTTCTACTCTGGGGCATTACGCTCGAAAATTGGCAGACATTTATTGACCAAGCACAAGCAAGAATATGATGTAGTTCAGGCCTTGTCCTATAAAAAGAACTCGTCCGAGTGAAAGAAGAATTTGGCAAAACTTTGTCTGAAAGGTGACTATCACCACAACATGAACATCCTAGAAATTGGTGATGGGGAACTTATTGTTTGACTTACAGTATCCACGACTTCCTTCCTTGTGAGTTTTGCCTAGGCTTCATGAAAAGATTGGGCCTGTGGAAACACCAGTTGACTTGCGAACACAATCCAAAAAACCTGAAAACGAGCATGGCAATGGTAAACAGCAAGTCCAACTTAAGACAAAACTTATGTTAGCTCCTATGATAACTGGCAGCAAGGATGAAAGATTAAACAAAATAATTTCTGTGATGAAAAACGATTGTATTTTCAAAATTGTTCAGAAAGACCCTCTGATCAAGGCATTGAAAAAAGCGGACCAAAAGACGGCCAGTTCATTTCTCAGAAAATGAGAGCTTGGTCGCTTAGTAGAAGGTTTAATGTCAGTTGAGAAAAGTAAAAACGTACAGTTGTCTGACTTCATCAAGCCCGAGATGTTTGATATGGTTGTCACAGCTGTACACAATATCGCTGGATTCAATTCACAAAATGATCAGCTCAAAGTGAGCATTCCATCACTGGCATTGAAAGTGGGTTACTCAATACAAAAATGTGCCTCCATTTTAAGTGGTTTAGGCTTTGTATACGTAGGATGATTTTACATTGAAAGATATTAAGAACTTTCAAAAACTGATGAAATCAGAATGGAGGTATATGTTTCCCATCATTCTTTGTCTACCCTGCATGAACAAAAATTTAATGAAGTTGATGTGCCCTTCTCTTGCCAAAGATATTACTCATCTAAAGAACTTCATCAAGCAAATGATCGAAGAGGAGTCAGTTTGAAAGCAAGTCCAACCATGAGAAGCTGGACCTTGCTGGCCAAACTGCTGTTGGCAAGGGTCGTGATGCTCAAAAAAAGAAGGGCTGGCGAAGCATTGAAGTTGCTGCTGACATCCTACAACAGCAGATCTATCTGATTGGACCCGGTCAGCCAATACGGAAATCCTGGATAGTCTAAGTTCTTCGGAATGACAGCTATCAGCACGGTAAGAAAATTAATATTTTATGAATGGTTTATGATGGGTGGGAATCTCGTAATAAATGAAAGCTCCATGCATAAAAATGTCCAAACCAAATCCTATCAAGAACTTTTAATTCACACGTCTACTACTACCAGTGAACTACCATTTAGTCATCTCTATATATAATGACAAATTTAATTTGTATCTTTAGGTGTTATTTAAATATGTCATGGCATATAAATTTATTAGGTATCGACCTGTTGTATTCTTTGTGATCGACCATTGGGGTAGCAGAAAAAATCCTTACGTTTTCGCGAGGGCCGACCGTGATTCACTTGAACCTTTAAGAGGACCGGATTGCCTGAGGAGTTTTACCTTAAAATGTGTCCCGGAATTGAAAAATCGTAAAAATATCATGGGCACCAAGCTTCGAAAGTACATAGCAACAATAAGTCAAGTTCTCATATGCTGTGTCAGATATACTAATATACATGTTCGTTCCTTTAGAATCAACGGCACCAAACCTCTTACGTCAAACCATTTGTTTTTCAGGCTACGTCAAAAACAATTCAAAAACTGAAGAAAAAGTCCTAATTATGACCCACGGCAAGCTTGCTTCTACTGTGGGGCATTATGCTCCAAAATTGGCAGACATTTATTGACCAAACACAAGCAAGAATAGGACGTAGTTCAGGTCTTGTCCTATAAAAAGAACTTGTTCGAGTGAAAGATGAATTTGGCGAAACTTCGTCTGAAAGGTGACTATCACTACAACATGAAGATCCTAGAAATTGGTGATGGGGAACTTATTGTTGTATGACAAAAAAGACAAGGCTTGACTTACAGTATCCAGGACTTCCTTCCTTGTGAGTTTTGCCTAGGCTTTATGAAAAGATGGGACCTGTGGAAACACCAGTTGACTTGAGAACACAGTCCAAAACCTGAAAACGAGCACGGCAATGGTAAACAGCAAGTTCAACTGAAGGCAAAACTTATGTTAGCTCCTTCGATAACTGGCAGCAAAGATTAAAGATTAGACAAAATAATTTCAATCATCAAAAACGATTGTATTTCCAAAATTGTTCAGAAAGACCCCCTGATCAAGGCATTTGGATCAATGATGATCGAAAAAAGCGGACCAAAAGACGGCCAGTAAATTTCTCAGAAAATGAGAGAGCTTGGTCGCTTAGTAGGAGGTTTAATGTTAGTTGAGAAAAGTAAAAACGTCCAGTTGTCTGACTTCATGAAGCCCAATAAGTTTGATACAGGTGATTTGGGTGTTGATATATTATACCACATAATGTATTTGGTTGAAAGCAATTCCAACCTTCATTTGATAGACTTGGAACAGAGATAAATTCATAAGCTGGAATGTCGACATTTTTCAAAGGACCACCATCAACCCTTATTTTAGTTTGTGCAAGACCCATCAATGTAAATGGGAAATTCAATCCAGCTAGCACATGAATAAAATTATCATAATTAGCTGCCAAACTCCTTATATTACAGTTTAAAGCGGAAAATGACCTATCATTTGATGAGCATTCATTGATGTCGTAATTACTATGAAAATCATGTATATTATAATAATTAAAATTTTGATCTGCTGGCATATTTAGATCAACATCCGAATTTGTAAGGGGAGGGCTATTAGTAACAGGTGACATAAGTATGGTGAATCATTGAATTGGTCAATTTTATCAGTAATATTAGAGTCGCACATCCCTAAGCAATTAGGGCAATCAATCATTGAAGTATGATACATCTAGTACAATCAATTGTAAATAATTATAGGTATAATGACTTATCTTGATATCAATGTAGTAGTATCATCTCTGGTTTTAATATGGACTAGAGAACTATTCTCATCTTTGCGGAGATAAATCTTAACATTTTTGGTCCGAATAAATTTATAACCCAGCTCTTTCTTCAGTTTAAGACAATCCTTGAAGAGTTTTTTATTGGTATCAGTAAGACTTTAATTAATGTAGATATTATTAGAGGTTTGATATCCAACGTTCTTTGTTGTTATACCCTTCAGATTCTTATGGGCTTGATAATATGATTCTTTGGTGTCTAGACAAGCAAATTTCACAATGATGGAGGGCTCCTTTTCTTTCCCACTGTATATCTTACTTACTGGTCGATGACTAACAGAAATATCTCTTTCATCAACATTCACACCCATCACACCACCAATTTTAGTTATTATTTCATTGGTATTTTCCTTACCATCTTTTTGTATGGGAATACCTTTGATTTCTAAACATTCTCTGTGTGAATATTGTTCCATGTCATTAAGTGCCTCCTTCATATGTTGAACTGTCCCTTGTAGTGATTTCGTTGTGGTTTTTAATATTTTGTTCTCAGCTATAATTCCTTTCTGCTCTTCGTTATGCTTTGATAATGTGCCCCGAACAGGTGGGAAATTTGCCTGACCATGCGCGAGCAAAATGAACCATGCAATTGCGTGGAATACACGTAACACGTGTTTACAAAAAGGCACAATCGTGTAAATATTGCCAAATCTTTGTACAAAATAAATGACTGTTTTATGTTGAAAATGGACATGATCTAAATTGAATCATACAGACTTTCTTAGTGACGTTCTATTTCAGTACCCTGCCATTGTCTCTGTTGGACTGTCCGTGTGCATTCGATCTGAAACAGTTGCTACTTTGCTGTCGAAAAATTTTGAATGTTTACATGAAAATAGAGGCAAGTCGTGCATTTTACAACCTTGTAAACTGTATGAGCCCCTATTTTTACACTTATACCCAAGATATCAAATAAAAATACATGAAACAGAGAACATTTTTAGAAAGTTTTATCGTGAGGCCACAGCCAGTTTTTCAAATATCTTTATTTCTGTTCCAGTCATCACCAAAATTACACTAAAGCCGGGCTTGAATATACAACAAA